CATAATTTATAAACAATTAAAATATTATTGTATATGGGCCATTTCTGCCACAAAAATCATGTCATGGTAAATCATAGTTATGACATTAAAAGTAGAAATTATGAAATAAAAAGTCAGTTATTACATAAGTCAAAATTAATTGTAATGTCATAATTGTAATTAGTAATTTTAAGTAGTAATTAGTAATCATAATTTAATTATTAATATCTCATAATTTCTATTTACCTCAGAATTATCTCATTTATTCTATAGTTAAGATTTACCGAAGCAAATTTTTTTAATGAGGCAGAAATGGGCTTTCATGTAATTGTTTACCCAAGTGACCATAATTTATAAACACTATCAGTCAGTTCACAAAAGAGTGAACCCTGGAGCAGGTTAGCTGTGGAGTGTAAGTTACTGTGGCAATGAACGCTGCTAAAAGCCTAGTCACTTTCATGGTACCTAAAACCCAGGATTGGTGCAAACTAATCTGAAATTTACCTGGCTAGCCAGCTAATCCGGCTTCATGGTACAGGCCCCCAGGCAGGTTATGTTCTGGGTAAGAGATCTCAAACTGATGGGAGCAAAGTGACACATGTCTGACGAAAAAAAGTCACTCCCCCAGTTTCTTTTCCTCCAAATTAAAGGTCACTATATAGTTAAAAAAATAAATTCTGGCTTTAATTATAATTATTTTAAATGATTTATATAAATATTATATGATTTATATTATTATTAATCCATTACATACAAGCAATTTTAGTTTAACAATTATTATAAAGGATTTATTGTAAATGAACAATAATATATACAGATCATATGTAATATAAATACGCTGTAGAATCAATAGATAATGCTTTAAAAATGATTACGTGACCTTACATTTTCGAGTCTCTATCGCTATATATTATCTTCACAAGTTTCATTTCTTTTATTTGTCCTCTTTCATGGACAAGTACTTTCTTCAGTGTAAATTCCTCATATTCTTCAGTCTCTTAACCTTTAGCATAAGAGTTTTGAATTTCGCTGGCTCTCTCGCGAGAAGTGAATCACACTTGCTCTGATGCAAGGCATGTGATTGCCTGTTCGCCACTGATGTCACACATAAACTCCACACAATCCACAAACTCAGGATCAAAGCCCGAGTTGACAAAGAAAGTTGTGATCAGCATCATGGTACCAACAAAGCCAGATTGGAGTAGTTTAGTTCTGTCAACTCGAAACTAATCCTGTAACTCTGAATTTGTTCAGTAAAGCATTCCAACATTGTAAAGCTGCCGGTGTGTCTAGGATTATTTTGTAAATAATTCTTTCCTTAATTTTTATATACATACCTATTCTCTTTTTGTCTTGTGTAAATGACTGTCACGGTCTTCAATAATAAAACAAGTTTGCTTGATTTAGTCTCCAGTCTTATTAGTTACTTTTAGTGTTGTCACGGTACCAAAATTTCAGTATTCAGTACCGATACCAGTGAGAATCCACGTTCATTCACACACCGAGTGTGAAGCTGGTAATGGTCAGAACTGGTCCAATGTTCCCCTTCTCAGTCCCTAGACCAGTGGTTCTCAACCTTTTTTTCCACTGGGCCGCTATGGTCCAAGTGCAGTCTCGCGGGCCGCACGCATATCATTTGCATATTATGTCACCAATACAAACCAACCAGATTCATAATAGATTATTATAGCCTAAATATTATGATATCTAATCGATTACATTCATTGAAATAAATAAATAATTATACTCCCCATTAATAAAACACCTGATGCTGTCAGGAGCTGACCAATTTTGTGAAATTCGGCGAAAGGAGTAACAGCACAATGAAGTTGCGATTGTAAGTTGCAGTCTGTAAGACGCGCACGGAAGCGTGACTTGACGTATTTTTATATTTTAGACATCCATCAATTAGTGATGAAAAAATATATATAATTTGCCGCGCTGGTGGAAACAACATGAGACCGTGCTGCTCGACGGTGTTTAGTGTCCAGCAGAGCGAGCGTGCCGTCAGCGCAGCTGAATTGAGCTATGATCAGCTCACCGTCTGCCACTGGTCGCTTGGTCGTTACTTTAAAAAACAAAAACTTATATTTAACGACCAAAAAATGCTCCAAACGTTTTTCTAAATTAACTTAAAAAAAACGAAACGAAATATAATCACTTTGCCATTACATACAAAACTGAACTATTTTAATATAGCTGAAACAGTAGTAGCCTATAAGCTGTTTTGGGAGAAGGGGAAAAAAAAAGACGGGCTCGGGCCGGTAATTCTGATAAGCTGTCGGACAAGGGCCGGGCTAGGGCCTGAACGTCATGTATTTGAGGCCCGTGCAGGGCTCTAGCCTGAAGTGAGTGGTGGGGCAAACCGAAAGTTGATGCTGAAAGTACAGCACTCTCCTACCGGTTGAGAACCACTGCCCTAGACGCTTAACAACCAAAGGAGGGTCGTAACAGTAATACACAATATAGGCCTATATCTTTTTTTTTTTTTTAAATAACTGGCTAATACATTTATTTTAATGTGACTCATGCTATATGATATAGTCTCAATCTATATTGCTTTGGAAAATATATTGATATGTCTTAAACTCCATATTGCCCAGTCCTAGTTTGGATATTTGTTTGGATGGATTGCCATTCATGAGAACCTGTTATATTGGAGTAAAAATAATCTTTTAGCCATTATTTTGTTGTCTATTAGATGTGTATGCAGTGCATCTGGAAAGTATTCACATCACTTCACTTTTTCCACATTTTGTTGTTACATCCAAAATGGATGAAATTAATTTTTTTCCTCAATTCTACAAACAATACCCCTTAATGACAAATTGAAAGTAGCTTGTTTGAAATCTTTGCAAATTAAAAAAATAATAATAATCATCATTTTTTTTATGTATACTTGTACTCACAGCCTTTGCTCAATACTTTGCTGAAGCACCTTTGGCACCAATTACAGCCACAAGTCTTTTTGATTATGATGCTACAAGCTTGGCACACCTATTTTTGGGCAGTTCTCAAGCTCCATCAGATTGGATGGGGAGCGTTGGCGCACAGCCATTTTCAGATCTCGCTATAGAGATGTTCAATCGGCTTCAAGTCTCAAGGACATTCACAGTTGTCCCGTAGCCACTCCTTTGTTATCTTGGCTGTGTGCTTAGGGTTGTTGTCCTGTTGGAAGATGAACCTTCTGCCCAGTCTGAGGTTCTGAATGCTCTGGACTGGGTTTTCATTAAGGTGATTTTGCCGTGTTGAGTTTTTTTACTCTGACGAGTCCCTGCCGCTGAAAAACAGCCCCTCAGCATGAGGCTGCTACCACACTTTACTGTACGTATGGTATTGTGAAGGTGATGAGCAGTGCCTGGTTTCCTTCAAACATGATGCTTGGAATTGAGGTTCATCAGACCAGAGAATCTTGTTTCTCACAATCTGAGGGTTCTTTAGGTGCTTTTTTGCTAATTTCATGTGTATTTCCATGTGTCTTCACGGAGGAGAGGATTGAGTTTGGCCACATCGCCATAAAGACCGGATCAGTGGAGTGTTGCAGTGATGTTTGTCCTTCTAGGTTTCTCCTATTTCCACATATGATCATTGAGCTCAACTACAGTTACCATCAGGTTCTTGGTCACCAGTCTAACCAAAGCCCTTCTCCATCAATCGCTCAGTTTGGCCAGGAGGCCAGCTCTAGGAAGAGTCCTTGTTGTTTCAAACTTCTTCCACTAAGAGTAACAGAGACTACATGCTTCTGAGAACCTTCAATGCAGCAGACATTTTTTACCCTTCCCAAGATCTGTGCCTCAATACAATCCTATCTCGGAGGTCTACAGACAATTCCTTGGACTTCATGGCTTGTGCTCTGACATGCCCTGTTAACAGTGGGACCTTAGACAGGTGTGTGCTTTTCCAAATCATGTCCAATCAACTGAATTTACCACCTGCAGGTGGACTCCAGTCAAGTTGCAGAAACATCTCAAGGATGATCAGTGGAAACAGGATTCCCCTGAGCTCAATTTTGAGTGTCATGGCAAAGGCTGTGAATACTTATGTACATGTGATTTATTTCCCGTTTTTTAAATAAATTTGCAAAGATTTCAAACAAACCTCTTTCACGTTGTCATTATGAGGTATTGTTTGTAGAATTTTGAGGAAAATAATGAATTTAATCGCTTTTGGAATAAGGCTGTAACATAACAAAATTGGGAAAAAGTGAAGCGCTGTGAATACTTTCCGAATGCACTGAATGTAGTCATTCATAAACTGTCTTTTTGATGACTACTCTATTCTTGGGCTATGGTTAGGCGTCTATTACATTTTCTCTGACAGCCCAAATTCAGTTTTGTTTTAGCCTAGACATCAGGCATGTGTTTGGACGGCTATAAAACGTCTTTTAAACGAACCCCCTCCACACTAAATGAATAATTGGCGACAAAACATGGTAAAGTAACATATTTTGTAATATATTCTGCCATAAAGACTAGCATAAATAGAGCTATAAATAGACGTTTCATAAGGCAATCTCTGTGTCTGAGCTCCACAGGTTAACGTTACCTGGGGACACAGAGCATTATGTGCCAGACTAGCATAGACCGTTTTCAGATTCGGATTAACCTCAACAAAAGTGGATCTTTGGGGTGTAAAAACGACTTCCTCACATCCTCCATGAAAGATTGTCATTGATCTCGATCACAATGAAATGCTAAATTCAACACTGTCCGAGGCGAATTCATGAATCCGGAATCCGGAATCCTACTAAGGTTCGCTTATTAATATTCATAAGTCAGACCTTGCCATTGGAACGTTACCCGGCGAAAACGTCACGACCTAATTAATATACACGAGCCAAGCGTCGCCATTGGAACATTTCGGGGTGACGTCATACGACGTGATTAAAATTCAAAGCTAAACTGCGCGCTGCGTCAAGTGTAGAGAGACTAACAGACCGCTTGAGGGTGCTGCGAGATACAGACAGGGCTAGCGCTGTGTGACCCCGGCCGAGAGGAGGGAGAGGAGGAGGAGGAGGAGGAGGGATTTACGCGGAAAACAAGCAGAAAATCTGGCAGAGGCGACAGTGAGCAAGCGGCTAGCAATAGAGATACGAGTGAATGGTAAAAGGGGCGAATCGTGCAGTCGCGGGAGCATGTTTATATGGACAGAGCCCAGCATGCACCAAGTCTCTGTTAGTAATCTTTCAAATCTGACGCAAAAGGGGTGGACGCAACCCAAGAGCGGAAACAAAGGCGCTTTGGTTTGAACAAAATACATCTGTAAAGAAGGGGGATAATTGGTGAGCAACAATTTCAGTTTTCAGAGGTTTCGTTTTAAAAAGAAACCGCGCATCACACGCAGAGTGACGCTACAGTTGTGTTGTTTTGTATTGAACTAATCGATCTGATGTGTGCTGCTGTGTTGCACTTCTGCAACATTGTTCAAAAGGTTGATGGGAATCCAGTTTATTATGCATGAAATGTCACTTGCCTTGTTAGTCTCCTCTGTATCTGATCACTGTCTCTATCAACAACTGCCCCACTAACTTATCGTCTATATCGAATTTCGGTTTCCCAAATTTGCAGCACAGTATTTTCTTCTAGCCGAGACAGTTCAGTGGTCATTCACATGGTCAGGCATGTCCCATGTGTTGGCCGATGTGTTAAACTAAAGCTAAGTAAACCCAATATTCAGTATAATTCGTATTAGGAAGCTATCACGTATGGCTTTGTTACTGTCTTTTATTTTTATTTCTGATATATACGATATTGTTGCTTGTTGACAGTTCAGTAAACGTGGATCTGACCATTTGCCAACTCTTTCAAAGCCTCCCTCAATCATCCCTGGTTAAAAACGACTTAAACCAGTTTGCCATTCTCGGTTGCTGGTTTTAGAGGAGTTTTGAACACTTTTCAGTTAGTCAAGCAGTGAGACCAGCTGGCTAAATCATTTGAATACAAGGTTGGACAGGCTGTGAGACCACAAAAAGGCTGATTTAAGGTGCTGTTTTCAGCTGTAAAAGTAATATTTTTTATGATTAAAAAACTTTTTTTTTTTTTGGACTGTTGTTTTTATTGACATAAAAACAGTCAACTGTCTTAACTGGCCTAATGAAGTAGGTATCTGTTGCATATTTTAGTGTAATATAGGGTAAAATAATCGGATGTTTTCTGATTCCCTGAGCTGCCATAGTTCAATTCAGTCCAGTATACCTAGTAGCGGGTTAAAATGTATCATATATCACAACATGACTATTAAATATGTAACATAACGAGAAATAATCCAGCATGTGTCAATAAATAACACTGGTATGTCACTCTTTTAGTTTAGGTTTCATCGATCATTCATCACTACCCCTTTTAATGAAGAGATTTACTTTGTAACACTGAGACTGTGCTACTCCAAATATCTGAAGTGACCAGGCTGATGATAAAGTTAGCCTAGCTGCTCATGTAGAGCCAGCCTAGTGTTTAAAACTGTTGTAACACTGTGTGTTTGTGTTGAATGAAGAAACCGAGCAAGAAAGACTGAGATGGACGCTGTTTTTTTGTTTTGTTTTTTTTGAGTGGAGAGGAGGTGTGTATTTAGACAAGGCCGATTAGAAGCGTTGTTTTTGCACCATATGCATGAAGATGCGCTCAATACAGCTTCCTGTGGAGAATGAGATTGTGTATGTGATTTTTGTATGAAGGAGGGAGGAAACAGGATTCTTCCCTAATAGTGTTGTTCTGCCTTGCTCTGCTCCTCACGTGCTACAGAGATGAGAATGACTTCCCTTTTACTTTTGGGGATGCATTGTTTGGGTGTATCTGTACCACAGAGGCAAAAATGGAGAGAGTGAATTGAGAGGTCTTATATATTCATTTGTCAAGAATAAAAGTAAATGACTGGAACAGGTTGTACAGATGACCTGTGCTCTTATAAGGTATGCAGTAAGAGAAAATAAAATGTTGATCACGTGCTTACCTTTGACCTCTTTTTTTCAAAGTTGCAGTGCAAAGTCTTGAATGCAGTGTAAGTCGAATTGGATAAATGTCTGCCGGATGCGTACAATTTCTTTTAGTATGATGTTAGGTAATATGAGGTGGAATTTAGAGGATTGTGCTTCACTCTGACTTCACTTTGCAAAATTCTGCTGCTTGATTGTTTATATCATTGAAAAATGTGAACTATATTATCACCTGGCTCTAATCTGCTACGTGCAACTGTAAAGGATGAAGATATTAAGATATTATAAACATTTAACGTCATGATTTTTTGTAACGCTGCTTTGAAACAATGTGTATTGTGAAAAGCATTATACAAATAAAGTTGATTAGACTTGTTCTCCGCTTAGGATTCAGCATTTCAGATGCATTTCATTTTCTTTATTAAAGAAGTCACTCATCTGCCTGCTAATTAAAGCAGTAGCACTTGTATGTACAGTAGCTCTCTCCCTTCCCTAGTCTGTAAATGCATGTAAGTGAGGAAGAGAAAAGATGTGCATATTTTGTTCTCATTTTTGTTCATTTTCTGTCACTCACGCTTTTAGTTTTTGACTCATTCCATTAAATTGTTGTCTTTCAGGTCCCTCAGTATGAGTCGAGATGGATGGAGAAAGAAAGCCAGTGAAGATGATGGGTGGGGTGGACGGGTAAGAGTCTGTTGTTCTTTATTATGAAATGTGTTTATTATTGAAAACAGGAAGGCTCAGCAGCTGTTTTATTCACAGTTGAGTCGTCCTCTGACGTGCTGTGTTATTTTTCCAGGCTGCCCCTGTAAACACTGTAAATTATTATTTTTGCTATTATTTTAACTTGTCCTTAAATTCCCTCATAACCATTGACTGCCTCTCTACCAGTCAAACATTCCCCTTCATGTGAGAGCTGATGTGTGTTACTGCTGAAGTCTAGACAGGTTTTCATTTGTATTACACCAGTGAGTAATCTCAATTTTCCTCACTAGTGACCAGCACCTCTACTCTGCCGCCACAGTCCGAGCACGGCGAGAGATTTGATAGACTTCAATGTCCTCGTGTTCCTCAGGCATTAGCAGAACCACACTAGTATAAACAACTCCAAGAGCTTCTGTCTTCATTTCACGATATTTCCCTATAATATGACAATCATAATGTGTTGCCACCAAATTTGGGAACCGAAGGGGTGGAGTTTGTATAATTTGTTGATTTTCAGTTAATAATGTAGTAATTTGCAGACGTAATAACAGACCCTGGATCTCATGTGAAAGCGAATCTTGCCAGTGCATGTACAGGATGACAATTGTTTTGTGCAGAATTTTTTAGTTGAATTAAACACAGCACAGTCGTTGCCTTCAGGCCTTGTGTGTTTTCATATCTCAGGTTATATTAATTAGGTTCAAGGGAATTTCCTGTCAGTACAGGTGGAGCGAGTGAGTATTGTGGAGTATTTTTGTGTGTGTGAGTGTTTATTGGTTCAGTCTCAACTCCTGAATCCCAGCGTTCCATCCGTTGCCATGGAGACTGAGAGTCGCCGTGCCAGCAGGGCAGACTTGCACCTCCAGTCTCATTGAATGTCTGAGGCGTAATCAAACGCTTGTCAGCCAGACGCTGCACGTTTTTCTTTGTGCGCGTATCTATATTGCAGTCTGTTCATTTTTACAGGGTAAAATGTTTTTTATAGTTTTTTTATGCTATAAGTGTGCTTGGTCAGTGTGTGCTTTGTGTTTTGCCTTATTACTTGATCTTATGAGGTTGTGTTGATGTGAATGGGATTTTTTTTATTGGGATTTTAAGTCAAATTAACATCACAGTTTTGTTTGTTGAATTTTTTAGGGCGGTTACATGGCTGCAAAAATCTCTAAGCTTGAGGAGCAGTTTCAGAAGGACGCCCCGAGAGAGAAGCAGAAAGATGGAACGTCCTCCTATATCTTCAGCGGTGTGGCTATCTACGTCAATGGATACACAGGTCAGATCTCTCCCAGCATCCTCGCCACCCACTTGTGCTCTGATAACAAATGTGAACAGGAAAACAAACTTTCTTCCTGAATTGAGATCATTTGAGCATCATCATCATCATTATTATCATTAACAATTATTTTTATTATTTGTTTTTTTAATAATTATTAATGTTAATACTAACATTTAATAAGAAAATTAATACTACATGTTTTTATAGAGATATTATCATTATTATTGTTATTTTATTAATGACCTTTTTCATTAATATTAATAATACTCATAATCAATAACAGTATTATTGTTTATGTATTTTTATATACAAGAATATGCTAAATTAATTGGAAAAATGAAGTTGAATGATCCTGAGGAAATGTTGCTGGCTGGACTCGAGCCTGTGTTTCCCATCTGAGCACCATGGCCGAACGTGTCACGTATCTTGTTTTGTGTTTATTTGTGTTTAGATCCCAGTGCAGATGAGCTGCGCAGGCTGATGATGCTGCATGGTGGACAGTTCCATCTCTATTACACTCGCTCCAAAACCACACATATCATTGCCACCAACCTGCCCAACAGAAAAATACAAGAGCTCAAGGGAGAGAAAGTAGTGCGGCCAGAGTGGATCACAGACAGGTGTGTGTGTTTGTGTACACTTTGCAGGTTATAGGAGCACTATATTAATACGAATACTAATTTTTTTTTTTATTATTTGCTTTTGTGCAGTATAAAAGCAGGCCATCAACTTTCGTACGTCCAGTATCAGCTCTATACGAAGCAAAAAGGCTTGAACTTTACCAGTGTTTGTGCACGAGGAAAGCAGGATCCATCATCCAGCCATGAACCATCCAAACCAAGTCTAAACCACCCCGAGTCAGACAGCATCAAGCCTCAGCCCAGCCACACTCAAACCCTCTCTAAAGAAGTTCTCAAATCCACTCACGCTAACCACAAAGCTAACTTCACTGAGCGAAGCAATCATCAGCTAGATGTCAGATTGTGAGTATGCTTTATTAACAGGGATCCATTGGCACACGTGAGTGTCAAATGCTGCATGTGTTTAAAAGAAAGAAAACATTCTACTGCTTTAAGATCCGAGATATGACTTGTAACACAACAAATACATTTTATTTGTTTTTAAAATTTTAACTTGATCATATCATCCATTTTTGGTTGTACATTGGCTGATATTGGATATTTGACTGCACATTTTGATTTCCACAATTTTTACATTTAGGTTATGTTTGCTGTGATGTAACAGTCTTCAAAAACACTAATAATTTAATAACACTGTTAAATGTAATCTTTAGGAAATCTAAAAACGAATATCCATCCATCCACACAGTATATTATGTTAATGTTGTGAATCCTAAATTCATTTAGTTTTTTTGTATATATATATATATAAAATAGTACAGAATAAACAATAAAATAGTAAAGAATTTTAATATCATCCATTTATCAGTTATCCGCCAGGAAAATAGGAAAATACAGGAACTATTCAATTTATAGTTATCAGCCTGCTGGTCAGATAAGACTGCTCCAAGGCCAAGTTTTTACATCCCTCATGAATACTTAAATAAAAACATTTGGGTAATTATTTAATATCATATCTTCTTGTCCTCTCTTCTTTTGTCTGGCAGAAATGGTTCCTGTAGTATAATCTCTGAGGAGGATGCAGAGAGGCCTAGAGTTAATGGAATTCATGATGGAGATGATGATGATTATGACAACGCCTGTGCCCTTTTGCCAAGAGGCTCACAAGACACTTTGTTAACTAACGGTTATGTACACCCTGTGAATGGTGCCTTAAAGCCTCAGGACTCTTTTGCAGAACTTCAGCTTCATGTTGTTGACACAGGGTCCCATCAGTCTCACCTCCCACAGACTGAAAGCAGGGATAGGGAGGAGTCCAGCTGCTCTTCTGCTGGGTCAAAAGCAAATTCCCATCAGAGGTCCTTAATATCCACTGCCAGTCCTGCAAAGCAGCCTGGTCTTCACAATATGCAAAAGGACCTCCATCCGAAACCAACATCTAAACCAGGAACTTCAGCTGCTCCTCAAAAGGGGAATCTGCACGATCAGACAAGAGTTCGACTAAATGGGAGCTATCACATGACCCCTAACTCCTCCACACTTGCAGACTCTAGTAATCAGCCAGGAAGGTCGGGCCAGGGAGCAGAGGCTGGAATCATATCCGAGTTCTTTTCTCACTCAAGGCTGCATCATATTTCTACGTGGCGGAATGAGTTCTCAGAGTATGTCAACGGCCTTCAGAGCAGGAGTCGAGCTGCAGGAGGAGCTGTTTTCTCTGGAAAAGAGAAACTGAAGAAGCTCAAAGCTAACTGCAGTTCAGGTGTTTTGTCGTTGTGGTTTATGTTTGTGTATTTATGTTGTTAAGAAGCCAAGTGTCTTTGTGGTGCAGCGTTTTGCCAAAAACAAAACAAAAAATGTTTCTTTCTATTTGGCCCAGGTTCCTTAATGGCTGCTCCTCAGGTGCGTCAGTCCTGCATTCTTCATGTGGATATGGACTGCTTCTTTGTGTCCGTGGGGATCAGACACCGACCAGATCTCAAAGGTACATTTCAGTGAATTGGAGGGAAGTGCTGAAGTCTCTTGTTGCAGCTTGTTGACTTTGATAGCACCTGATAAACTGAGCTTTACTGATGGTCAATCTGTACTCCAGGGAAACCGGTTGCGGTGACAAGTAACCGCGGTCCAGGCCGTGTTGCACAGCGACCTGGTGCAAATCCTCAGCTCGAGTTTCAGTACTACCAGAGGAAACAGAATCAGTACCGAAAAGGTAAACCCAGATTCTAGAAGAAAGATGTTGGTTAAATTTTGCTTGAAGTCTAGAATGAATTTATTATACTTTTTTTAAAGTTTGAATTTAGGAGACCATTGTTCTTTCTGCTTTAGAGAAAACAGATGGGGATCTTGAGATGACCCCATCTCCACAATGTGATGAAGTTCCCAGTAATGGAGTGGATTTGGACCTGGCTGCCCTTTCTATGGCAGAGATTGCATCTTGCAGTTACGAGGCCAGGTATGCATAGTAAACATGCCAGGCTCCTTTCTTGTGCTACGTGAACAATCCCCCGCCCCCCCAAAAAAAAAAAAGATGGTAAAATGGATGCTAAACATCCATTCCATTTTGAAAACTTTTAGGTAGGGATGCACCGATACTGGTATAGGTATCGGGCCCGATACTGAGCTCCTGTACTCATACTCGTTAAAATGCCCCGATACCAAACGCCGATACCACACAGCATGTGATAAATATTCAGACAAAGAAACACCGACAGCAGAATGGAGTTATTAGAGATTAAAGATGTCTACGAAGTATATGTATGCAATAAATATAAAACATTCAGTATTAATGCCTGTATAGCTGATTTGCGCCAGCTGGTAAGCAAATCACGCTGAGTGGATTGAGCGCACGGCGGCGCAGATGCGCGATCTTGTCGAGTGAATATACCTTTCTCACAGACTGGAAAGTTTGTAGTTTCGGTCGGATATGTCAAAAAGAAGTAAGTAAAACAATGCACAAGTTACTTAATGGGAGGGAGGGTGGGAGAGAGCTCACTTTTGTGTGATCTTTATTGATGTTCGCTCACTTAGCACGCATCATTTGGATTAAAACTAAATCGTAAATATAAGACAATTTATAGGGGCATTCACTATAAACGTCATTTATT